GGTAGAATCAGAGGAAAAGTATGAACACCACACTGGTAAAGATGAAAATTGTTTTTCAGAAAGAGACTTCTTATCACATCAAACTAAAAAATTTGATAGAGAAGTGACTTTAAAATGTTATTCAACTCAGATGAAGGTGGAACATGAAAAAGGTATTCATTCAAATATATCAAAAGAGTATTTAAGCAGGCAAGAATTCCCCAGCGATGAACAAATAAAACAGCAGTCCCCAGGGGATAAACTAAATACCAAATTAAAGGAGAATGAGGATATGATTGAAGAGAACTTACTGAAATGCACAGCTTCTAGGGAGGGCGAGGCCAGATCCCCTTCCTCACAGCAGAGTACGTGTAATCTAACCACCTTCTCAAAACCTAGGCCTGTGAGAATTGCTAAACAGCAATCACTAGTAGAAACATGTGATAAAAAAGTGTCTGAAAGTTTACAAATGACAGAGCATGGAAAGGTTTCAGATCATATACAGTGGTTTAACAAGCTCTCTTTAAATGAACCAGATAGAACCAAAGTTAAGTCACCTCTTAAGTTTCAGCGTACACCTGTTCGTCAGTCTGTTAGAAGAATTAATTCTTTGTTGGAGTATAGCAGACAGCCTATAAGACATAAATTAGGCAGTCTTGGTGATACCGCTTCTCCTCTGGTTAAATCAGTGAGCTGTGACAGTGCCCTTTCCTCTTGTAAAGAAAGTACATCAAAAGTGTCCTCTATTTCATGTACCAAATCAGGTCCTAAAGAACAGAAGTCTGCATCATGTGAACAGTCAAACATTGATGCAATTTCAAAATCAAGTGTGGAGTTAATTCCTAAGTCTTTCTCAAAGATAAAGAGGCACGCAGATTCAGTGAATGCTTCTCTTGGGTCTGCTAGAGTTTGTAAACAGGAAGTGATATCTGATGGCCAAATTAAGATTCCTTTGGATGACTTGACTAATCATGATATATTAAAATCTGTTGTAAATAACAATATGGGCATTTCTCCTGGGATAAATAACAGAGTCTTTAGGAAACCTTCAGAAAAAGAAAGGGTCTGGTACAAAGGCTCTCCAAAATATCCTATTGGAAAAGCTCAACTACTACCAACAAGTAAGCCAGTAGACTTGTAATTGGTAAATGTTATACTTGTCATTAATGTAAATAAACTTAGCAATTGGTGATATGACTTGCAGGATAATCTACATGTTCGTTTGTAGCTCAGGATGATAGTTAAGCAATAAGTTTAATTTCACTGCACAAGCAACTTGGATTTTTATACTTGTATAAATGACTACTTTGTTTTTCTTAATTATGGTAGTATTTAAACTTTTTAATTTTATTGTGATCTCTTAAAGCAGTGGTTACACTGTATTTTTTAAAGAAGTTGTCTGGATATATATGAAATTAATTTTTGAAAACTGATTTTTATGTGAGATAGGGAAGAGTGGAGCAGGTTGTGCTTATTTCCTGTTATTCCTCCAAGTCAGATAAGATTTCTCCAGCAAATTTCTAGCATTTAAAGGGAAGAGATAAGACATGCAAATCTCGTGTCTTGAATTATATTAATGTTTATTGTCTTTACCAAAATCCCTAGAAATTAATTTGTTTCAGTAGCATCCAAATGCTTTTATTTCTATTTGGGGGCAGAGTAAGTTGGTTTATTTCACTTGTAGATGTACCATGTGTTCACTTGAACTAAGAACAATGGCTAAGGCAAAATAATGACTAAAGTGTGCTCATATATCGTGGTGCAGAACTAATTGATGACTTTTAAGCCATACTATATTTTTAAAGGTAATTTGCACAAACATATTTATCTGTTTTGTCCAATATAGAAATGAAAATTATTTGAGGAATAATTAAACTTGAAAAAAATTAATCAAGGTGATTTCTTATATGCAGGTGCTTGATTATAGAATTTGAAATAGTTGATACACCTCTGTACATTTTACTTGGATAAAAACCTGTGACAATTTTGTCTTGTGTGTAAATGTTATTTATTTAGCATAGACATTAAAGATAACTTTCTATAAAATGACTTGCCTGAGACTAATGAAATTCAAAATGCCATTTAGAACGCGAATGAAATTGTCAAGCAAATCTATCTAAATTTATATTTTAAATTATTGGAAATTACACATCATTAAGGGAAAACTTATGAACAATATAATGTATTTTCTAGGTTTTAGAGGAAGGAATTAGCAGACAGAATCAACCACTAAAAATAGTTTTGGCGAATGAAATTGTCAAGCAAATCTATCTAAATTTATATTTTAAATTATTGGAAATTACACATCATTAAGGGAAAACTTATGAACAATATAACGTATTTTCTAGGTTTTAGAGGAAGGAATTAGCAGACAGAATCAACCACTAAAAATAGTTTTGCAGGTCAGTTGTTCGAATGCCACATTTAGATGTTGGAGCAGAATAGAGCCGCATGCACACCACTTGGAACAACTAGACTTACAGTGTGTGTATGTATGAGGAGTCTCAAGTCATCAGATGTTTGCTTTACCAGGTTCTACTTCATTATGGTGTATCTGTTTTATTTCAAAGCTATTTTCTGTTTCTATATTTATTACCTGGAAGTCAATGCTTTCTAAGAACTATTCAGTATTTGACTTATATAAGGACTAAAAATCTGTAGATACTCATAAACATAATGTTTATAACAAACAGGTTTGCAATATAGACTAGGTAAGAATTTGAGATATTGTATTTCTAGTAGTAGGCACAGAAAATATTCATACACTTGGAGATATATGTTGTCTGATTCAAAGCAATTTTTTTAACTTCACTTTTGAATTTTAAAAAATGCATTTTTTTTTTATATCCATGGGAGGAGGGATGAAATGTTGAATTGAAAGACTAATTCAGTAAGAAGGCGTAAGGGGTTAACTGTACACAACAACTGAATTAGTGTCTTTTGTGAGGGATCAATCAGTAATGAAAGATGTTTGTTTATTTTTTTAAACTACCCACATCACTCCCATTTTTGTTAGCTGAAAGCTGCAATACAGACTATAGAAATATGAAAGTGAATAGCTTGGAGACATGGTAATTGGAGAGTCAGGAAAGTTGAGTTTTAGACTTGATTTAATCTGATTTCATTTTTTCTTAGAAAATGGAGATAATGTCATTTATTTAAAAAAGAGGTTTATTTGGCTCACAATTCTGGGGCAGCTGCATTTGGCATGGACCTCAGCCTGCTTCCACTCGTGGAAAACAGAAGGGAAGCCCACATGTGCGAAGAGATCACATGAAAAGAAGGGGAAGCAAGAGAGAGGGAGAGAAGGTGCCAGGCTCTTAACCAGCTTGGTGGGAACAAATAGAGTGAGAACTCACTCCGAGGGAGGTCATTAATCTATTTATGAGCAATTCACCCCCATGACCCAAACACCCCTCCCACTAGGTTCCACCTCCCAACACTGCCACATTGGGAATTAAATTTCAACATGAGTTTTGGTGGGGACACATCACATTCACACTGTAGCACTTTATAATGTTAAAGGTGTCTGGACATGTGCAGTAACTTCAAGGATTCTTTTCACTTAGTAAGTGTGAATAAAGGTCTAATATTAATTTGGTTATCTCGTAAGCAACAAATAAATACAACAATGCATAGAACTTAAATCAGTAGGCTGCTAGGCAATATTCTATAATCACTAAGAATTTAATACAGGATCTCGATAATCATCAAGTCCAGGATATATATGGTAGATGTTTTATTTTAAAAATACCAAATTTCATGTGAAGTATTGACATTTGGTATATTTCAGTCCAATTTCCATTCAACACAAAAGCAGTAAATTGTAGTGATAAACATAAAATGAAGGTAACTGAACAATGCTAAAGTAAAATTCAGAATTGAAAAAAAACCTCAATATGCATCAATAAATATTAAACCCCAGCACGGTCTTTGAGCCAATCAACGGTAATTGTCTTGTTAATTTAGCAGGCACTGAAGCAAAAAGCAGGAAGAAGAGCATCCAGTGGAAGGAAATGCACTGGGAAAGAGGCTTGGCTTTGAATCAAAAGGCCATGTGTCTCATGAACGAATTTTTTTTTTTTTTTCTGACTGGTAAGGGGATCGCAACACTCGGCCACGGGGCCAGCCCTTATGAATGAATTTTGTTGGTCTCTATTCATTGCATAAAATTGCTGTAGATGATGGATTTGCTATATAGAACTAATGTAAAGAGATCTGGATTCTAACCTCATCGAGTTACTTAGTTATTGTCAGACCCTCAAGTACTTTACTCATCCCCAATCTTAATGAAAGAAATTTGCAGTACTATATTATATGGCTTTACATTTCAATTTTTGTATTTGAACAGATTCCAAATGTTCAAGATTGCACATGGTAGGTTCCCTATAAACCCTTATTTAACAAAAAATTTGTGAGCTTACCTGGATATATTTCTGCGATGTGTTGGGAGGGAGTATGGTTTCTACTCAGGCCAAAGGGGAATTTTACTTGACGTTTGGTGTGGGAGTTTAGAAATAACACTCAAGAGTTAATATTCCTAGATGTTTTCAAGCTTATCACTTTAACAGAAGTTTCTATCTTGTATTAAATATCCCCATTGTTTTCCTGCTCTGTAAAAGAGCTCTTGAAAGCGGTGTATACCTTATGATTGCCACCATTAAAAGTTCTTAGGGCTTCGTCTTTTGTCACTCCTACCATTGTCTCTTCTCTCTTCAAGCTAAAAGACTTCAGAAAAGAAAATAAATCTATTCTGTTTTATAAGGTAGCAAAATTAATGGTGGCGATCTGGCACATTAAAATTGCTTGAGACTGAGAAAGGAAGTGAATGAATGACTTTCATAGGGATCGATAGAGGAAGATAGTCTTTAGGAGGTTTCACAGTCAAGAGCTTTGTGTGCAGAATGCGTAGGTTGAAGTTCTGTGAGGCTCTTGGCTAGAAGCACCCGCACCTGGGATGCTCTGGAGGGTGCTGGTGCGGCGACTTCCACCTGCTAGAGGCGGGGCGGGGGCGGAGCCAAGATGCGGAGGGAGGTGACGCACACGCCATCCTTCTCTCCGGGCTCCCGGCTCGACCCCCACCGAGTCCCAGCCCGTGGGACGCTCCTCCGGCTGCGCTTCGGTGAGTACTTAGCTGATGCGGGCTCGGCCTATTGCCTCCTACGCGAGACGTGCGGTTCTTCTCAGGGGTCGGGGGTGGAGGGCGTCCCACTGAAAGCCTTGAGCTGTCGGCTGGGGTCACACAAAGGACGGGTGGAGGATCCGGGTCTTCGGCTATAAATAAGGGGAAAGGAGTACTGAGGGAGGAGATTGAGTAGTCATCAAATCAGAACGGCGTTGGCGGGGTTGGAAACGAAACAGACATCCTACATTCAGAGCGGACAAAAGGAAGATGGAGATACAGAGGCTGGTGTTTGCCTTCGGCCTTTTCCATCAGAATGGCAGGTTTTGCTGTTGCAACAAAGAGCTGTTCTCAGCTCTTTGGAGAGCAAGGTTTTGTATCTAGGAATGGCTAGAAAAAGCCTTTCCTTTGCAGAAAAAGCAATTGGATGGTATGAATATTTTCTTTCAGGAAAGAAAATGCATGGTTTTGCCTCCTCCTATCTCCCACCCCTCAACCCCAGTAGAAGAATGACCAGTAGGAGGGTTTGCATGGCTGCTGCCTGCAGCATCCATCCTAAACAGGTTAAGCATCTGTCAGGGAAGCTGCCTGATTATTGTTCCCTTGTTCTGGCGTATTTGTAGAAGCCAACGTGTAGGACAGGTTGACTCTCCGGACTGGTTTTCTCCCTCTCTTTCAGCTGCTCTGTCTTCCCTCTTATTATTACCACTCCCCCAAATTCTAACCTCCAGAACTGTAAGGCAGTGTTGCCAACATAACAGTAATATAGGTGCTCACTCTGTGCCTGGTTTTGTTCTAAACCCTTTTACATGTATTCACACACTTATCCTCACAACAACCCTTTCAGGTAGATGCTTTTATTATCCTTTTTTTGCAGAGGAGGAAGCTGAGGTACTTGCCCAATATCACCCAGATAGCATGTGATCAAACACTGTGAGCAAGCATGGTGCATCTACCCTACCAGATTGCAGGGCAGAGCTTGAGCTGCGGGTATTTTTGTTCCCCTCAGGATATCAAACGTGTAAGATGTTTACTAAGCTAAAATGTTCCCTGCCACCACTCTTAACCTTTCTGTGCTTCTTTACCATGTGTGTCTTCCTAACTCTCCCCTGTAAGCCTTTTCTTCTCTGAGACTGGAAGAACTCAAGATGTCACTATCTCTCAAAATTGAAGCAAGTTTGTTTTTATTTGTTAAGAGAGGGAGAAAGTGGTGGAGGTAGGCGTAATGCAGAACTTTGGGGGAGCTGCAAGGAGAATTTAAAAAGATGAGTAAGAACTGCCATTCTAATCTAGCTTTCCCAAGAATGCAAGTACAGAGGGGATTGGATACCTCAGACTGTTGTTTTTTTAACGGGGGAGCTGCAAGGAGAATTTAAAAAGATGAGTAAGAACTGCCATTCTAACCTAGCTTTCCCAAGAATGCAAGTACAGAGGGGATTGGATACCTCAGACTGTTGTTTTTTTAAATACCTTTCCACAGTGATGTCCTGTCTAGAATGGTCACTTAAGACAAAAGCAAACCCTTAAGGACTCATTGCAGTCCCTTTCTGGAAGATCCTTGAACCACAACCTGGAGTTGTTACATAATTGCATCATCACACTTGCATTTTCACAATGGCCCATTGCAGCCCATCGATGTAAGTGTGGTCTTTTTTCTACAGGTTAAAAATGGCCTCCAGGATGGTCTCTACCTTGCTATCTGGCCTACTCTTTTGGCTGGCATTTGGATGGACTCCGGCATTTGCTTACAGCCCACGGACCCCTGACCGGGTCTCAGAAGCAGATATCCAGAGGCTGCTCCATGGCGTTATGGAGCAGTTGGGCATTGCCAGGCCACGGGTGGAATATCCAGCTCACCAGGCCATGAATCTTGTGGGCCCACAAAGCATTGAAGGTATTTATTGTGTTCTGATGGTTTGAAGTTTCCATTAACATTTAAAATAGTTAATATATTTTTAAGAGAATCTACTGCCTCTTCCTGTGTTCACTTTCATTCAACAAAGTGTATACATACATATATACACACTCTCACATAAGGTCCCTGTCTATGAGCAGGGACCTTATCTATCTAATTCACAGATGTAGCCCTAGCACCTAGCACAAAGTCTGGTGCTTAGTAGGTGCTCAGTTAATATTTATTGAGTGAATGAAATAGCATCTAGTGTCATCCCTAAAGAAAGATTAGAATCCAGACCTCATGTTTTCCCCCTCTGCTGATCTGAGGGAAAGTGTTTCCTCACATAGCTGCCACTTTGAGCCAATGCCAGCCACTACTTGTGAAAGATCCTACAGGAGCTGATTTGATTCATAGGATGACTTCTATATACCTAAGAGGAGCCAAAAGAGATACTGACATTAACGGATTAACTATGAGGCCAGCCTGTGGCTCACTCGGGAGAGTGTGGTTCTGATAACACCAAGACCGCGGGTTCGGATCCCTATATAGGGATGGCCGGTTGCTCACTTGGTAGAGTGCGGTGCTGACAACACCAAGTCAAGGGTTAAGATCCCCTTACCGGTCATTAAAAAAAAAGAAAAAAAAAAAAAAGAAGAGTTTAACTATGTGAAAAACTTTTCTAAATATTTAAAAATATAACAATTTCATTGAATAGTAAATTAGGAATAATTAAATTGTCTTAGGTGGCAAGACCATTTCCTCCCTGGATTTTTCAAAGTTTCTGGCAATGTGGTTGTAATACTTTTATTAGAAAGCAATACTTAGTTCCTGTGCTGTTTAATGATTTACTTATGAAGAGAATCTACTCTGAGCTGGTGGTACAGCATCAGACAGGTGCCTTATTTTCATGCCTCACTTTGTATCCTCCCTGATTCTAAATGATCTTCTCCACTGAGGTGGAATCCCTAAAGCAGTAGCATGGTTCAATGCAAGGGAGCATTTTGTTACAGCTCAAGTGTTAGACCATGTGAGTGAATCCTAAGGAACAATGTGAATTCTCTCAAAATGCACACCCAACAAATGCTATTTATTCCCTATGGATTCATTATGCATAATTTTGCCTAAGTCTGTGATTTCCTAAAAATGCTATCTGCCCCAGGGTTCTGTGAGTGCCATGAATATAGATATATGATTCTCATTTCTGTCTTATTCCCCAGTTTTAAGCTTTGAGTAAAACTAACTCTGTGAGATTGTTGTCTATTTAGGCTGACATTTGATTTCAGGGGTTGAGTAACACAAAGGATTTGAATCAGCAGGCGTGCAAACCTAGCATAGAGCTTGAATCAGAACAAATCAGACAGGGCTTCCGCCATCCCTTCTGTCTTTTTTTTTTTTTCTTTCGTGTCCGGCAACAGATCGCAACCCTCAGTGTCGCGCCTGTACCGGACCAGGACCGGC